AATATCTCACGGCGCTTCGCGCTTGGTGATGTGAGAGCCTGGTCCGGTGAGAACCCGGCGTGCTCCGTCCCGGCTTTGTAGGGATGCGAGGTCAATGGTCTAACGACTACGGCATGCATGACTATGAGTACACCTCCCCCCCAATGATCTTGGTGACATGAGAGACTTGTCGGGTGAGAACCCGGCCTTCGTCCCGGCTACGTAGGGATGCGAGGTCAATGGTCTAACGACTACGGCATGCACGACTATGAGTACACCCCCTCATGTCATTGGAATTGTACGGATACAAAGTCGATGATCTAATGACTACGGCATGCGTTTACATGAGCACCCTGCCCCCATGTATTTTTAGGATGCGAGCTCAACTTTCTACCGACTACGGCATACGTGTATGTACCCCCCCCCACGCCATTGATGTTGCACGGATGCAAAGCCGATGGTCTAACGACTACTGCATGCGCTTACATTAGCACACACCCGCCCCGAGCATCGTAAGGACGCGAGGTCAATGGTCTAACGACTGCGGCGTACATTCCCTCCATCGTTGCTGTTTCAGACGCACACCACACCGCAGACGCGATCGTACAGCCACCAGGTGGCAACTCGCTGGTACCGCGCGCCAGAGCTCCTCTATGGCGCAAGAAGGTGCGTATGATATGACTATTCATTAATTTTGTTTTTCTTTTTCGTTAGTATATGACAACCAATTTCATCTCCTCCACAGATATGAGTCTGGGCTAGAGTAGCAGTGAATTCCTTGCGTCAGCGGAATATATTCCTGTGTTTCTTCTAGTTTTTCGTTTTTCGTTTGTTGAGGTTCGCTGGGCTTGTCGAGTCGAAAACCACGTCAGCTGCGTGGCCTGTTGAACGTAGGGAGCGAGTGTCCTACAACCAACTGGCGGCTGGCAGCCGGCTGTGGGCTGGTCCTGCCGCCTGCCTTCTTGTTGTTGTTCATCTTGCGTGACCCCTTGATGACACTACTGCGCTCTTATTGATGCGCCCTTTCCGGAGGGCCCACGGTAGCGTGTTACACGCGTAGTGCTTGGGTGCCGTGCGTGAGAGCTTGTTGTTGTTCGAACGCTGTTGGCATGTATCATAGGTCGACGGGCGGTTTTGTAGAACGAATTGTGGCGTTTCTACTGCGCTTGACCGTTGGCAGGTTGAAAGCCGGGCTGCTTGTCTGCGTGTTGTTTTCGGGTCCTAGGTGATGATGCGCGCAGGAAATATTCCGGGAGAATGGTGTAAAAGACTGACCTCCAGAATAGATGAGCCGACACTCACACACACACACACACACACACACACACACCTCCAGGAGCGATTTACGTTTTTGGTCGCGCTGAGACTGACGTATTTTCATTGGTGCTTGCGCGGTCGATTCCAATTAACGATATTTTAAAACACTAATACACATAATCTATCGATTTTCTGCTGGTTCCATCTCTCATCATGTATCTTTCCGTTCTAGAAAGGTGTACCCCTCTTTGGATACAATAGTTTGCTTGTGGCCACGGAAGGCGTTCGCGTCAGTTGGACCAGCACGGACATTAGAAGGTACTGACCGGAGACCGGAAGTTTTTTTTAATGTGAAGACAACAACAACAGCAACAACCGTAACACACGTCCACAGGTACGGGTGTGCTGTGGACATGTGGGCGGCTGGGGCGGTGGTAGGAGAGATGCTGGCGAGCCGACCTTTGTTTCCGGGCAGGAGCGACATCGACCAACTCTACAAGATTCTCCAGGTGACGGTGTCGTTTCCATCACCGCTAGGTTGCCGTTCGTGTTGTCAGTGCGAGGGGCGGGGGGGTTTGTGAAGTTTTCCAACCCCACAAGATCCTCCTTGTGACGATGTCGTTGGACTTTTGTGCCACCAGTAGGTTGCTGTTCGTGTAGTGGGTGAGAGGGAGGGTGCAGTCATGCAATCGCATGCCGTAGTTGTTAAGACCATTGGCCTCGCATCCCTACAAAGCCGGGACGGAGCGATACGCATGCCGGCTTTTCGCCGGCCCAGGCTGCGTCTCACAGCGGGCGGGGGGGGTGTAACGTTGACCAACTCCACGAGATCTCCAAGCGGTTTTATTGTCGGGGTTTTCCACCACCGCTGGGTTGCTGCTCGGGTAGTTGGTGAGAGGGGTGGGAGGGTTGTTTACGTTTAGGTTAGGCCTTTCCCCATTCTGCTCGGGCGTCAAGAAGCGTTACAGCATTTCGATTTTTTTTGGCCTTATGTCGGGAATAAATTGACCGAATTGAGCACAATTGGGGAATAAATAATGCATTAACGGCAGCTTTGGGCATTTTCTCGAGCATGAATTGCCCAAACAAAGAGCATATGCTCGCTCAAGAAACGGAGCATATACTTGAGGAAAAAAAAAACATGTTTGTCGTAAGAAAGCAGAGTGGGGAAATGCCTGGTTGAGGCGATGGTTTGGTCCGAGGTTCCATGATCACCGCCATCGCAGGTTGCCTTACGAGACCACGCAGTACAGTACCCTGGAAGAATTTCATGGGCAGTTTACCTCTTACAACGGAACTTAGTGGTTGTGGGCGCCGAACATGGCAGCGTTGGAACGTTCATGTTCGGGGTGACGCCACCAACAGCCCGCAACAGCATCAACAATTCATGTACGATACGACACCAATACCATCATCATCGCCAACGAGAACATGTCACGTACGACATGGTGTGATATGACACACAGCAAATCATGTTGTACGATGTTTTGCATCTAAGTATTGATGATCTACGAATTCCGTGATAGGACGCACAGCACGCCGTGAACGACCTACGAAAACGATCTCATGCACCATTCACGACACCAACACCAACAATACATAAACAAGTCATAGTATACGACATGGTACGGTGTTTTCGTCATGTCAGGTGACGGGGAGCCCAACGGACGAGAACTGGCCGGGGGTGAAAGGCCTTCCCGACTACGACAAAGTAAGAGGATGACGCTTCGAGTTTTGTTGCAGCCGCCCACCGGTTGGCGGTCGTCGCGTGTCTCTCGTAAACCAACACTTTCTTGAATTGTCTCTTTTTTCACCGATGCTCTTATAGTTGTCTAGTCTAGTCTGCGTTCTCCGGGCATATTGCTGCAACGGCAAGATCTATTTTTTTTTTTCTCTTTTACGCCGTAAAACAGGCGCTTCTAGTCGTCCAGATCTGATTTCTCCTTGTGGGGCGACCACCAGGTCAATAATCTTCTCCCTTACACCGATGCTAGTCATCAAGTCTGTATTCTGAGAGCATTGCTGCAACGGCAACATCTATGTTGTCTTCCCTTCTACGCCGTGAACAGGCGCTACTAGTCGTCCAGATCTGATTTCTCCTTGTGGTGCGACCACCAGGTATATTGTCTTATCTTTTGCGCCGTAGCTGCTATCAGTTTCTAATAGCCGTCTCAATCTGATTTTGTGCGGCGGTCCCGTGTCGCCAAAAGGTCTGCTTCGCGGAGATGCCCCCCCAAGACGCCTCCGTCACTTTTCAGGGGTCGTCCCGGGAGGCGTGCCACCTTACCCAGGGGATGCTTCGCTTGGATCCCCGCAATCGGACGCCTGCTCTGGAGGCCCTCCAGCACAGGTTTAATAAATGGGTCTGACCAACTAGTTGCGATTGACCGCCTATGTAGAGCAACTGGACAGTTCATAGGTCTGGTCAGCTAACTGCAATTGAGCGCTTATGTAGGGCGTTTGCACAGGTAGTATAGTAGATCTGCCCAACTCCAGCGGCACCAATGGACCGTTTTTTTCGAGCAACTGCCCATGTAGTACATAGGTCTGACCAACTACAGCTGCAACGATTGAGCGTTTTCCTTGTGTAGAGCAACTGCACAGTTCGTAAATAGGTCTGGCCAACTGCACCGATTGAGAGTTTCCGTTCTGTGGAGAAACTGCACAGGTATTTCGTGGGTCTGGCCGGCTAGCTTCCCATTGAGTGTTTCCGTTGTTTAGGACAACCACAGGTTTTCGCGACGAGAGAAGTCAAGGGTTGACTCTTGTCCGCGTCACCCCGTCGGCCTACGGGGCGAGTTGTGATGACCTTTGTATTCATCCACGACGCTTGCGTCGGCCTACGGGGTGAGTTGTGACGATCTTTGTATTCATCCACGACGCTTGGCTCTCGAGTAGATCGCCCAGCATCATCACCGCCGTAATAACGTAGCCTGGACCGGCGAAAACCCGGCATATCCCTCCGTCTCGGCATTTTAGGTATGCGAGGTCTACGGCCAACGGCATGCGTTCACATGAGCGTACCCCCCCCCCCCCCCCCCCCCCCCCCCCCCCCCCCCCCCCCCCCCCCCCCCCCCCCCCCCCCCCCCCCCCCCCCCCCCCCC